GAGGCATGTCTAAAAGACCAGACCACTAATTACACCAAAACATAAATACTTAGCTTCAAACTTAAAAGCAACCACAGTTATCCTTTTTAGTTTAATAAAAAAAAAAAAAAAAATCGCTGTCATGTAATCTCAGAAAATAGGCCAGATTTCTCCTGTGGAAAAGTATGGTGAGGTTTTCATTGTTTGCAAAATAAAATAGAAAGCACTTCTGTCTTCTGTGTTAACAGTCCTCAGAGGATGAGCAGGCCTTTGTGAGCAAATCCGCCTCCAGCTTTGAAACCCAGCACCACCACCTGCTTCATTGCCTGGAAAAAACCACGGTAAGAAGCCGGCATGCCTGCCTGCCCTGCACTCTGACAGTAATCCCATTTACTTTTGTGACTGCTTAATGTTTCCAAGTGTGATTTCACTATCTGCATCACTGGAAAACATACTGAAAATTAGAAAATAAACAAATGAACAATATTCGAAATCACTTTGAAGGGCCATGGTGCCATTTCAACTTAGAAAGCAGTATAGATTGTTATTTAGGATGTTATTATTATCCTTGTGGTTTTCTTTCCTCTGAGACATCAGTTAAAAGTTGATGGAAAGTTGTCTTCCAATAACGGTCCACCAGTCTTACAAAATCTCTCTTTTTCCTGATTCCTAAACTGCTGATTAAACAACAAAAAATGCAGTTTAAACATTACTGATTCCTGAATAAAGGGAATAAAAATATCAATAACAACAACAAAAAAGAACTGACTACAAGCTTTCTTTCACAGGTTTAAGGAATAGAGAGAGATAATAAAAAACGTTCTAATAAGAAAAATGATACCCTTAATTGTTGCTGTGCCCTCAGGGTTGAGAAGTGAGTTTGCATTTCTCCATTATTAGCTCTCAGTTGGTCCCCCTGGTTGACAAAGGCACGCACCCTCCGCTAGCTTGCTAGCAGAGGTCACAGGCTGTGACTACAGAGCAGAGAAGACTTCCGCCATATTTAAATCAGGTCAGCTCCTTCACTCACCAGAGACGCATATACAGGTTCTTAATTCCACCACATTGTCCACCAATTTATTCACTTATTATAGTTATCCAACAAATATGTATTACTTACCTACTACGTGGTCCACAGTGAGCTAGACCCAAGACACACCATGAAGTCAGGCATGGCCCCTCACCGAGAAGGACACTGAGCAGCAGAGGCAATGTGATGGGGCCACAGTGAGGTGAGGCGAAGAGGACGGAGTCATGAGGCTACAGGACCAGTCAAGACTTCCTGGAAGAACTTGAGTTGAGAACTCTTATCAGTTTCCTGGGACTACATAACAAAGTGCCACAAGCTGAGTGGCTTATTACAATAGAAATTTATTGTCTCACAAGTCTGGCAGCTGAAAGTACAAGACAACATATCTATTGTGTCTGGCTCCCTTCAAGGCTCTAAGGACAAATTCTTTCTTGTTTTTCCCAGCTTAGGTAACCCTAGGCCCTCCTTGGGAGCTCTGGTAAAGTAGTTCCTAAGGCACTTGACTGCTAACCAGAAGGCTGGTGGTTCAAACCCACCAGCCACTCCTCGGAAGGAAGGTTGGGCAATCTGCTTCCGTAGTGATACTGCCTCGGAAACCAAGGAGGGGTCACTATGAGTCCGGTCCGTCTTGACGGCACATAACAACAACAACAGACCCTCCTTAAGCTTGTGGACACATTTTCACATGGTTGTCCTTCCTCTGTGTATCTCTATGTGTCTCTTTTCCTCCATTATAAGGACACCACTCAGATTGGGTTAGTACCCACCTTACTCTAGCATGACCTCATCTTAATTTAACAGATGACATCTTCAAAGACTAGTTCCAAGAAAGCTCATGTTCACAGGTCTGGGAGTTAGGCCCCGTCATTGCCTCCACTGCTCACTGCCCTTCTCAGTGAGGGGCCATGCTTCATGGTGTGTCTTGGGTCTAGTTCACTGTGGGTCACATAGTAGATAAGTAATACTTATTTGTTGAGAAATACATATTTGCTGAGAAATAACTAAATGGATAAATGGGTGGACAATGTGCTGGAATTAACACCTTTTTTGGTGGGGGGAGAGATGGGGACACAATTCAATCTGTAACAAGAATGAAAGGATGACTGACCAGGAAATAATTAAGCAAAGAAATGGAGGAGCCAAGGTGATAGACATGCCTAAGAGAGACAAGACCTTGGCCTAAGAGGACCTGAAACCATCTGTGGTTGGCCAGGAAAGATTAGAGTGGCAGAAGCAGAGGCAGAGATGAAGGCAGGCACCGGCTAATGAAAGCCTCAGAGACGTGTGAAGGATTTCGAACTTTATTTCATTATAAATGAGAAGTTTTCTAAGAGTTTTAAACAGGGTAGTTACATGATTACTTTTGCATTTTTAAATTAAGTTTTGAACGTGTCTGTAACACATAGTGTTAAATCTTCAAAAATTAAGTGATATGTTAATCATAGAATATGTTCATTCCAATTTTTTCTTTCATTTTACTTGCCTTTTTTCCACTATTTTATCATTTAGAATTTTTCAATCAAAAATTCTTAAACAGAATGACTGTAGTTTAACTTGAGCTACATACAACGTGCTTGGTAACCAGCAACAAAATGACATCTTCACTTCTAATTCTCAGTGAGAAAAATTAGAATCTCAGGCCTTATAACTTGTACTATGCATGTGAAAAGTACATTATAAAGAAAATAAAACATTGTGAATCCTTTGTGCACTGTATTTCTTTTCTGAAATTTAATATTTAATGTGAAATTATATCCTTTCTGATTATATTATTCTCTGAACATTTTAAGCAGTAAAATGTTACATTTCATTTATTTCAAAATGTTTCTCTCAGCAAAACAAAAACAAAATGAATAACTAAACAATATATTTTCTATTAGTCAGTGAATTGCTTCAATTGTTTCACTATTATTTTAGGATGAGACCTGGTTAAGTGGAATTTAGTGCGTGGAAAGCCTTTCATTATAAGACTGTTCCCACCCCCACAAAGGAAAAATAGTAACTGAAATAAATCATTCTCTCATTCAGATCAAGAATATTTTCTATTTTATGTGTGAGGTAAAATTCCTGCATTGGCATTTTAGAAGACAAGTCTTCATCAAAAAATTTTAAAACAAAAATAATACCTCATTTCTATAAAACGATGTATATGAAGTGATGCCCATCACTGTTTGTTTCTGGGATGGAATTCAGGAAGGTTGGGGTGGAAGAACTCTGGATGCAGGGAGCGATCAGTAGACTAATAATGTATCACAAAGATAAGATAACCAAAACCCCACTCTGGGTGCCATCTAATCTGTTCGGACTCACAGAGACCATGTGGGACAGAGTGGAACTGCCTCATAGGGTTTCCAAGGCTGTAAATCATTATGCAAGCAGACTGCCTCATTTCCACCCCCACCCCACCCCGCAGAGCAGCTGGTAGGTTAGAATTACCCATCTTTGGTTAGCAGCTGAGTGCCTTAATCACTGTGCTGGTAGGGCTCCTTATCACAAAGATAGGAGGCCACACAAGTTCAATGCTAACCCTTTCCAGGTCAAAGACAAAGTGACAGATTTTGCAGATAAATATATTTGACGTATTCAACTAGTAAATCATATTTTTCTATATGCCAAGGTTTGTAGAGGAGAATCTAAGGAAATGAGATTTGTATTATAACCCACTGCCATTGAGTCGATTCTGACTCACAGTGACCCCCATTGGGTTTCCAAGGCAGTAATTCTTTACAGAAGTAGATTGCCCCATCTTTCTTCCACGGAGTGGCTGGTAGGTTTGAACCGCCAACCTTCTGATTAGTAGTCAAATGCCTTAGGTATCTCATTTTCTAAAGAAGAAATGTTTTCTATTCCAGGTGAAACTATTTGCCAGTGTGTAATAGACAACGAACTTGGGGCATTCTATTAAAATAGTCTCTTTTCCATAGCTTCAATCTATTTAAAAACATAAAGTCAATTTGAATTCACAAATTCTCTGTAGGTAATATCTGTATGTATTTTTAATACTCTAAGAGTTTTTAAGAGTTTCTTTAGGTTATAACTATTAGATTTTATGTTTAAATTATCAGATAACATTTCAAGATTAAATCAGTCCATTAATGGATATTGCATTAGCTGCATGTATCTATCTAGAGGTCTAACTGGATAGGCTTTTGGTCCACACAAGTGCCAAAAAGAAGTGGTTTGATATTCTAATCTGTATGAAAATAGTATCAGTTACCCTATTGGGTAGAGTCTAATAGCATAGATCATAGTTGAGTTGTAAAAGTAAAGCTTTGCACATACAGTACTGTGTTGTCAGTGAAAGCAAACATGGCTATACAGGTAGATAGATGGGTGGACAGGCTGAACTATTAAGTATGTCTGTGCAGAAGGGAGTGTGCCCAAGACCATGTATGTTGTTGTTATGTGCCATCGAGTCGGATCTGACTCATAGCTACCCCTCCTTGGGTTTCCAAGGCAGTATCACTACGGAAGTAGATTGCCCCATCTTCCTTCCAAGGAGTGGCTGGTGGGTTTGAACCGTCAG